TTCAGTTTAATTGGGGATGGATCAGCAAGATATTGGGGAGTGAGATGGAACTGAGAAGTAGAGGGACTGAAGTTATCCACATGGACAGAAAAGAGTAATTGGAGAAGGCAGAAGAAAAGGGGGCAAAAGTTAGCTCACATGCAGATGAATCAGAGCTTTAGGGGCTTTGGGGGTGATGGGGAGGAGGAGAGAGCAGGTGTTAGTTCATGTTCAGCCTGAGCAGAGAGCTGTTGTGGGATGGGGGTGATGGGAAGGGAAAGGGTACAGAGTTCAGTTCATGTTAGACTGGACCAGAGAGCTGTAGGGGAGTGGGAGTGGGGTTTTGATGCAGAGAGCACAGACATCTGTTTATATGAGGATTAACCAGAGAGCTCTATGGGAGTTGGGGGTAGGGGGAGGAGGAGGGAGGAAAGGTAACTTCATATGGGGCTTGCAAGAGAGAGATATGAGGTGTAGTTGAGGACAATGAGAGTAGAGGTTAGTTCCTGCGGGTGGGATAGAGAAGTGTATGGGTGTGGGGAGATGGAGAGCAAGAGGGGGGGGCATTCCATTTTAGGCTGGGTATTGGGAAGAAGAGGGAGCCAAAGTTAATTGATGTAAGATGGACCAAAGAGAGTCATAGTGTGGTGGCAGAAATGTGGATGGAGAGGGAGCAGAAGTGCCTTCATATAAAGCTGGAGCAGAGAGGATGGAGGAGGGAGGATGGAGGGGTGGGAATGGAGAGGGAGATGGAGTCAGTTCCTATGAGGATGTGGAGAAATACAGGGTGATGGAGGGGATGGGAGCTTTAGGGGAGGGAAGGTGAGAGAGATAGGGAGGGAGAAGTCAGTTTCTGTGGGGCCTTGCTGTCCTCCCTAGTAACTCAGGAACATATAAAGCTTCCTTGAATGAATTCTCTGGTGAATCAGTCTTTTCTTTGTTCCAAAGTGTTTCAATTGCTAGGAACAGTTGGATTCATTGGTAGCCATATTCAGGCTTGAGTTAAGTAGATTCTAAGGAAGTTGGTTAAAGAAGGAAGGTAGCTCAGATCCTGTCCTTTCAGAGATGGAAGAGCTGCTGGACCCAGATCATTGACTGGACACCAAATGGTGGAAATGCACATTAACTGCCCTAGGGGGCCTTCTTGAGGTCCTTTCACCCTCTATCAGATTTTAAATTCTTGTTTTTGTTATACTTTAAAATACTAGGATTTTTGGCAGCATACTCAAGTAATACACTCAAAACAGTGCTTTACTGATGATTACAACTCAGTCACACCTCCAAAGAAAACAGTCATCCCATTACACAGTCACTCTTCGGTTTGATTAGAACTGCTTGCTCCCGGATGGCCCTCATGATGCCAGGTTCCCCCCCACAGTCCAGGAACTACTTTTTTCTTAGCCCTTCAGGGCCATTGTGATAAGTGTCTTACAGCAAGTGGCTCCCTCTTCCATTCCATGTCTCATGACCAGCTCAGCTCAACATCCTATATTCTAGAAGTTGCTGGAATACTGTACATCTTCAGTTGTAGTAAAAGTAATCAGTCTGCATTTATCTCAGTTGTGAAGCAGTGACAGCATTCTAGTAATGGTATCAGCAGTGCCTAAAACTCTCACAGGGGCTCCGGACCCATTTCTAAAAACATCGCCATGGGAACTTGATATATCTGGAAGCCAAGTCACCTCTTCTCTAGCTTTTCCCTGCTAACCCCCAGTGTTCTCTTCTGAGCCTCCCCTTAATCATTACCTTTCCCCTTTCCTTTCTGGTTGCTACAGTTTGGAGCCTATCATTTTCATTTCCTTTCTCCTCTTTGCCCTGAACATCTGGTGTGTCATCAAGATTTCCTACAGTAGTTGCTCTGATCGACCCCTTCCTTTTTCATTTCTTAAGTCACCATCTCAAACCAAATTTGGATCTCTGTAATGTCTTCTTAGCTGCTTTCTCTCTCCTGTCTTTTCCCAAGATGATTGGTGGTACTATCTTCCTCATGCCACTACCTTGCCCAGGAAGGAGCCTGGCCTTCAGACTAAGTCACACCTGGTTCAAATCCCAACTCTTCTACTCAGCAGCTATGGCCTTGGGAGACGTGACTTAACTGCCTTGAGCCCCAGTTTCCTCATCTAGAAAACAGTGTGCTGTGAGGTCAAAGGGAGCTAACAAACGTCAGGTGCTTAGTGTAGTGCCAGACACCTGGTGGGCATGCAATGAATGACACTCCCACCACAGACTCATGTAGAGCCAATCCACCCCTCTTGATCCCAGTGATCACTGTCCATTTGCCTGCTT